ATTAGGTAAGCGTGAGTGGTAGAGAAGGCTGTAAGGCCAGACCTGTTTCCGTCCCTGTGAGAGGTGAGGGCAGTGTTTGCTAGAAAAGAGGGGAAGAGATGGCTGAAAAAGTTCAGGTATTTCACTGCAGGGAGCTGAGCGCCGCTCTCCTGTGCGCCATCAGCCTTTGGTGGAATTCCCCAGATCTCTGGATTCGCACCAGGATCAAGATAAAGCTTCCGCCACTGCGGGGGTTTGGTTTTCTGACCTTGGAGGTGTTACTTTTTTTAGGCTTCACGAGAATCCAGAAGAAGAGCCGCGCATCCTGCTGGAGTGTGACAGTGGCGTGCTGGATGCCATACAAAAACATCTGAAACTGTACAAGATCCGGAGGAAAGTAAACATCACCCCTTGCCTTGACCTCTCTTTGTGGGCCGTCGTCCCTGGGGAGAGGGCTGGAGACATTGCCGGTTCCCTCGCTAAATGTGCAGACCAGGCTCTGATCTCAACTCCTGACCCCAGAACAGAAGTTATGGGCTGGAGACTGATTACAAAGAAAGGAGCAAATCTATCGGAGATTATCCCTGGGAGTCAGATTGGAAATATTCAGGATTACCACAGGCACAGGTATAAGCAAGGTAAAGCCGAGTCCTGTTTTTCACTTTATGTTGCTGGATTTTGGGAAACTTATTTATTTATGTATTATCACAGTTTCATCTTATTATCAGAGTCCATATAGTGATATAAGACAGAGGAATAAATTATAAAAGCCACATTGGTATATCTCAATGTGTTTACCTTCTTAGTAAGTGCAGGTATTGTTTGCCGCTTCAAGGATAAAAGCGATCCAGTAGTTATGCTTCTGTCTGGTGACAGAATCAATATTTGGGTACCATTTCCTGTTACTAAGATTATGGGGCGGTGGGTCAGGAATGCTAACAGCAAAAGAAAACCAGGATTATTCATTTTACTTAGAGGGAAACTTCAGTGGTTTGAGTAATTTTGATTATTTTGGGATTACGTACAGCCTGTGTGTTTTCCTTGTTGCTAAGGAAGGAAAAGGAAACACCCTAACTGACTTTCCTAAAAATGTATGACTGGATTCACAATTAACTCAGAGGCCACGGGGAGGAAGATTGGTTTGAGAGGCAACTCGATGCTGGGAGCCCCTGTGCCTACGCAGAGCTCCCATTGATTTCGCTATGTCCACACAAATAATGGATTAAATTAATTGGCAGACTGAAAGATGATGGTCCTCTGCTTAAACCTGAGTCCATCTGGTTTGGAGAAGCAAGCTGTTAATGGGTCAGACTGGGCTGGACTGTGGTGGTGTGCCACCTCCCTGAAACACCAGCACTCATCTTTGCTGTGCCAGAAAGCTGGGTGCAACGCTCTGCTTCAAAAAAAAACGAAACTATTTTTGTGTTATCAGTCACAAAAAGAACAACTACTTATACAGACATTTGGGCTTTAACAAAGACAGTTGGCCAACTTAGGTTCTTTAGCTCTGAAGAAAATAACTCTTACTGACATTAAAGTTCACGTATGGGGTGTGGGTGAGCAAGATTTTGGCATTACGTGTATGATGACACCTTTGTATGGGAGTCTGCATCATTCCGGGTGCTTTGAATTTCCACCAGTATGGTTGTGAAGTGCTGTAAGCTTAATGAAATTAGGTTCTAGTGCAGTTCTCTGTTTACCCTTAAGAGTAAACATCGTTTATGGCTAACGATTTCACTCAGGCCCAAACCAGAGCACTGGGAAGCTCGTTATTTTACATTGCTTCTTATGGGTTCTCTTGGGTTTACGACTCACAGGGGAGGCACATTCCAGAAATCTTCAGTACTGGAGATCTTACTGCTTTTACCTGTTGGTTTTATTTTTTTCTTAGGAATTCCCGAAGGTGTGAAAGATCTCCCTCCTGGAGTAGCCCTCCCGCTGGAATCAAACCTGGCCTACATGAATGGCATCAGCTTTACCAAAGGCTGTTACATCGGACAGGAGTTGACAGCCAGGACCCACCACATGGGTGTCATTCGCAAACGTCTGCTGCCAGTCCAATTTTTGGCTCCTCTTCCCAGGGACAGCATTCCTGAGGGTGCTGAGATCTTAACTGAATCGGGAAAGTCGGCCGGGAAGTTCCGGTCTGGAGGAGGTGATCTTGGTATAGCTTTGCTGAGGTTAGCTAATATAAATGAACCACTCTGCCTAAATATAGCAGGTGATAAAGTAAAGCTCACTGCAAGTATACCCAAGTGGTGGCCAAAACCTGCTAGTAAATAAATGAGGAGCCACCACTTTCACGTTTGCCTTATTGAGAATATATTTTGTGTGGTAAGTTTGGGAAGGCGACTCTGCCTTCAGCTGTTGTTTGGGGTGTTTGATGGGGGTGGCGTTGCAGGATTCTTCAAACCGGGACTGAACAGCAGGAACCCAAAGCCAGCAGCAGGTCGCTGAGGACAGGAGGATAATGTGTTACACGTTGTGGAGAGGCCCGTACAGAGTACACAGGGAAGCACGCCTTTTCCCAAGGGTACCCCATATTTATTGAGGGGTGCCACGTGCTGTTGGGTTGGACTGAATTTCTGGTCCACCGCTGTGCTCCGCGTAGGGCACAGTGTGTACTCGGACTGAAGCGAGCAGTGCGAGCAGCAGCTTCCCCATTGTATTCACTGAATGATTTTTTTTTTTTCAGAATAACCATTCTGTGGTAATATAATGTGTTGGGTTTTTTTTTTTTAATGGAGAGCATGCTGCTCTTACCTTGCATAAGATACATACTCAGGATAAAGCGTTCACTGCAAAATACTTCTTGCATTGAGCTTCTTAAACTTGCTGATTGGGTGGGTGTTTTTTCCCCACCACTAACTGCTAATCATGTTCAGGAAGAGGAATACCTTGTACTCCACATATCAGACCTTGATTTTAATTAGCCATTATTCCTGGTGGAAAAGTTCTCAAACCTCCCGGTCCTGTCCCCTGCTGCGGTGCCGGCAGAGGGAGCACAGCCAGCAGCAGCTGGCTTCTCTGCCGCTCCACTCCTGCCCTCAGTCATGCATGCTTCCTTCGCTCAAACAACCGTTTCAGAGAGGAAAAAAAAAAGTTTCTGAGATTTTTACAGAAATAAGGCGCACTGGTGCATACCCTGGGGTGACGACTGGATCCGTGTGCTGATGCTTGGCAGAATATTCTCTCACTAGAAGCATGTGCCCTCCAGTTGCCATCACCAGTTGAGGGATCTATTTTTTTGGGGGACATCTCTGCTCTGTCATCTTGTAGAAAAATCCTCTGTGCTTCCCTGAAGCGTTTGGTTTCCTCAGTCCCTCCGCAAAGCCAGTGAAGGGACAGTGTGTCCCCATCTCAGACCTTTGCTCCTTCCCTCGGCGTTAAGCTGCAGTCCCTGGAGAAGGGGTTAATGCCACGCGTGCTCTACCACCACCGCTTGTTCTGAGAGCTCTGTACCCCTCCTACAAAAACCTGTCCCTGCTGCCATCTCTGAGGTCTTCTCCATCCACCATCCCATGTAGACCAAAAAAACCCCAACCTCTTGCATGCACGTTTCTGACAAAAAACGTCCCAAGTGCATTCTGCCAATGTTTTGCTGTCACCATTACTGTGAAAGGAATTTATCTGTGAAAAATGCTCATATTGGATAAAATTCTTTATGCTTGCTGTAAAATGAGTTTGTGGAATATCTGATTAAAAGTTTATTGCATCAATAATTTAATTGTGACTTGTCTGAAAGAGACACTACCTTTTATTTCCCTTGCGTGAAGATACACAACAGAATACTTTTTTTTTTTTTTACACTATTTGTCACTCCTTCAGCAGGTTTGAGACTTTTAACAAAATCTTTCTGCTGGAAAAATAAACGCAATAGCAGTGCTTCACCCTTTCTGGATCCTCCGAATGCGACAAAGGCGAGACTGTGCTGCCCGTGCTGATGCCGCTTTTCTTAGCCACCCGTTGTGCACAACCTCCTCAGAACAGTCATACTGTTCTGGTATCCTGCATAAACACCACGTTTCTTCTGTTTGAGGAAGCCCAGCGTCTCTTTTCCTGGCGCACACACACGTTTCTTTTGTCTTTGTAACGTATTTGAAAGGCTTTTCTGTCGCCAACGGCTGCCGCTTACAAATGTGGGCGCTTAGACACGACATACGCACGCAGGTTGGTTTTTCAGAGGTATTAAGTCACTTCTGGACGTGGCAGAAATTGGAGAGGGCAGCCCCAACCCGCACTAACCTTCTAATTTTATTCCCCCTCACGGCCTGCACAGCGAGGATCCATCGCTGACCCAGGGCCTGCCAAAAAGGGGTGAATAACCAACCCCTTCCTCGTGCCAGCCAACGGGATGAAATCTTCTCAGCGGCAGTTTTAATAACCAATTTCTGCTGGAAGGAAGAAATGTTGAGGCATGCCCCCGGGCCCACCCAGCCTCTCCACTGCCGCGGGGAGGGAAACGAAACACTTTTACGGTGCGATTCTGTCAGGTTTTTGTGCTTTCCTCAGCACGGGACAAACATGGCGGCTGAGGGGAGCTGCCAGGTAACCTGCTCAGGTGCCTGTCTCAGACTGAACACCGCTGGAAAA